CTCGTTCATCAAAATTTTAAAAATTCACGTCTGTTCCTGTTTTGCTGTATCAGCCATGACTGAACTGGTTCGAACCTGTTCAAAGCCCGGGCTTGAATTCAAGCATCACTGCTAGCTAGCTGTGTATGTATCTTTGGGCAAGTTATTTCATCTTGCAAAAAGTCTCATTGTCCTCTTTTAAGTTTCAATTTCCTCATCTATAAAATTGAGAACAACAACAATAAAAACCCACTGCCATCGAGTCGATTCCGACTCATAGCAACCCTATAGGACACAGTAGAACTGCTCTATAGGGTTTCCAAGGCTGTAAACTTTTATGGAAGCAGACTGCCACATCTTTCTCCCACAGAGTGGCTGGTGGGTTCCAACTGCAGACCTTTTGGTTAGCAGCCGAGTGCTTTAACCACTGTGCCCACTAGGGCTCCTCGAGACCAAAACAGCACATATACAATATGGTTTGTATAAGGATTAAGTAATTAATGAAAATAAAATGCTTAACACATAGCATACAGTAAATGATGAATAAATCTTAGCTATTATTATTAGTGCCTTTTTAAAAATATTAAATTTAAAAGAAAGAAACAACATTGATAAGGAAAACTATAATAAATTAAAATCCCATTTATGTAGCTCTCAATCAGAAAACTTTTACTATGTAACAAGTCACCCCAAAACTTAGAAACTTACTGCAACCATTTATTTAGTTCATAATTCTGCAGGTCAGCAATTTAAGATGGATTCATAACAATGGTTCTTTTAGTCTTAGTGGGACTCATTCACGCATCTGTGGTCAGCTGTTAGGTCAACTGGAGACTGTTTTTGGGGTGGGGAAGGGTTGGTTCAGTTAGGATGGCTTGTCTCTATTTCAAGGGGTCTCTCATCTTCCAACAGATGAGAAGTTCCAAGAGAACAAGAGAGAGCAGGCCCCCATGTGTAAGCATTTTTCAAGTCTCTGCTGTGCCAAGTCTGCTACTGTTCCATCGGTCAAATCAAGCCACATAGGCAAGCAAAGAGGCAGAGCGTGAGGGGAATGATGCAAGGATGTGGATATATGGGGTCTTGAATAAATTAGGGGCAATCACTCTCCTCTAATAATAAGGAGCCCTAGTGGCACAATGGTTAAGCACTTGGCTGCTAACCAAAAGGTTGGTGGTTTTAACTCATCAGCCACTCAGTGGGAGAAAGATGGGCAGTCTGCTCCTGTAAAGATTAGAGCCTTGGAAACCCTATGAGGCAGTTCTGCTCTGTCCTATAGGGTTGCTATGAGTCGGAATACACTTGACAGCAATGGGTTTGTTTTTTGTTTGTTTTTTGGTACTCTAACAATATATCACAAGCTCCAAAGCGGTAATTCGTCTTCCTAAAAAGATATGGGAAACTGCATACATGAGTCTTACTCAATATAAATTACCAAAACGTTAACTAAATTTAAAATATATATTAAAGAAAATAACTCAACTGCCAAATTCAGTAAGAACAAACAATTTCAAACAAAAACTAGTCCTTCCACTGAGCATCTTTATTTCTGTGAAATCTCCTATGTCCCTAAACCCTTAGCTTGGTAATTCAAATATACTTTTCAAATTTAATACCCACTCCTCTTCAATCTAATGCCTACTCCTCTTTAATCCAAACCATTTTCCCAATGAGGCCAGTCAAATTGTGGCTCTTTCTCTAACATGGCTTTCTTTGACCTTGCTACCTTGCATCATTTTATCTAAGTCATTTAGTTTCCAGCTCAAGTACTACTTGAAGAAGACAATAATCTGTTCCTTACTATTATAAGAAAGTTAGGGAACAAACATTTATCTGAGCTACTACAGTGTGCAATGAACTTTGGTGGGACTATGCACATATACATGCATAATATTCCATTTGTATTGTTCTTTATTTCTGGTGAACACGTCTTCTGGATGAGACTATAAAACTTATTGTGTGTACAGGTGATTTTTTAGACATCTTTGTACCATCCATAGAATTCAGTATGGCAAAACAGACTTAGTAAGAACTCAATAAACACATTTATTTCATAATTATCCTTTTTTGGTAAAAACCTTTAAATAATTTTTTTTTACTTTATATATTTGCAGCTTAATATTATGTAAGGAAATTCAAACTAACGTAAGTGAAATTTCAAAGCCACCACTTAGATGCTTGATTATCTGGGTCAGAACTCATATATTCTGTGTCAGGGGATGACTGACCGGTGATCTTTTTCTAGAGACATGAGTTCCCCACGAGACTGGAACCAATGTCTCAGAGAACTGCACATGTGCAACATCCTGGAATAAGTGACGCCAAATGACCCAACAGCTTTAGCAACGGCTTCAATCTTGAATTACCTCTTGCGCATGCACCTAACACACCCTTTTCCCAGAAACCCACACCCCTTTCATGAAGAAAGATGAAACCATTTCCTGCCTAGAAACTTTTATAAGCCTTGTAAAGCCTTTAATCAGGGAGACAAAGGCTAGCATTGCATTGTCCCTCTTTGTCTCCACTCGCCGGCTACTTTTGCTCAATAAAGCTTTGTTCGTGCAGAAAAAAAAAGAAATCATATTCTATTGTTTTGTAATCCAAATGTCTGTAACTAACAAGTCCATGGGGAATTGTATCTTTTCATTAATATAACCAACACAAATTAAACTTTTCTTATTTTAAATGTGTACATGTCTTAAATTCATATAACTGCATTCAGAAATTTATAATTTAGATTTTTTGCTGAGGAAAATTTGCCCACAGCAATTTACTATTTAAGAGAAATGAAAGCACACTTTTAGAAGTCTTCTGACTAAGCACTGAAAACTAATTCGCACATGTGGTGGTTATGCTTTTGTTTAGTCTCTCATTCTCAGTGCAGACTGTTGGAGTAATAAGGTCTTTGCTTGAATCTAATATCTAAAAACTATTTGTTATGTCTGATTGCCTGACTTATGAAATTCGAATGTAATTATCTATAGATATTTACTAAAATCTGGAAGAAAGAAGACTATCTTATATCAAATGAGTGGCTCTGAAAACAGACATATAAATAGGATTCCAATTATAGAAATGAAAAATCTAAGTTGGCTTACTTATTTAGTTACGTATTACTCATTATAATCCATTTGAGATTGGCAGTAAATTTTGAGATTTGAGATTTTTGTATCCATACAAAAATAGATACAAAATACTAGAATTATATAAATTGTTAAGAATCATGGAAACAGGAAAAAAAATAGTAACACTGGGGATGAAATGAGTACATAGTTATTCACAAATATCATCCTCCACTTCCATTAGAAATTGGCCAAAAATTTGACTTTAATTTTCCATCAGCTCCAGCAAGGAATTTATATAAAATCAATTAGAAGATTCATGGAGTCCATAAGACTAAGGAGAATTTCTTTCCTAAGACCCAATAAAGGAGATACTGGGTGATCTTTATAACAGATGTAATAATTACCACCCTGACTTTTTTCTTTCTGTGTTCCTCAACCCAAAATCAAGGATTAAGTAGAAGCACAGTTGCATAAAAGCAATTCCATGAAATCCAAAACAATGTAGTTCAAGGAGGCAGTTCTCTGATTGTCTATCTTCTATAAGGAAAAGAAAAAATATATACATATATATATGGAATATCTAGAGAAAAGGATGGACTGCTTCTCTCTTAATAGTCCTCCATAAAGATTATTACTTCAAATTGAATTAATGATTACAAGGAAAGAGTTTAGGGTTTAATTTTCTACCAAGAATCTAGAATGTAGATACCCGGTGTTGTCAATAGTGGCACGCCCAAATGCTTTGACAGTCAGCTGGACAGAGGGAATTCATTGATTGACCTTCCTCCCTGTTAACATTAATTGATGCTCCTTGTTATTATTGGAAAGAAGGACATTAAGAGTGTTAGTATAACTATATCTGTGAAAGCTGGAATGAAACAGAAGCTTTCAATGACAGAAAAACTGTACTTTAGGATAACAGACTAACCAAGCTCAAAATAAGACTTAGAGAAGAAAAAAAAAAAGTTTGATGGAATTTTGAGATAGCATAGGATAGCATATGGATAAACCATCTCTGGAAGATCATATTTGTTTTCAGTGAAGACGTGATAGTGAATTTTATAATGGTTTTCTCTGAATATGAATAAAAATATATAGTCATTGAACTAGAACTTAAAAAAAAACAAAAAAAACAAGAATTGTAATATAGATTTTTAACTTTAAGAACAAAGATCTTAGTTTTAGTGAGTACAGCATCGTAACTTATATTGTCAAATGCTGAAATGGAAAACTTATCAATAAGATAGCTAAATAATGTATTATCCAAATTGTCACAGTTTTGAAAGTGAATTATTAATGCACTGCTAATAAGAAAGCAGGATAATAGGCATGAACCTAGGCTAACCTGCGCAAACTGGGATGTGTGGTAAGCATATTTACAAATGTCTCCAAAAGGCACAAACCCAAAAGTGAAACCATTACTCTTCCCACAAATCAACTTTTCTCTTCAAGCTGCTTAGTCATAACAGTGCCAAGTGTTGGTCTTGTGGAGGTGAATGTGACTACCTAACCCCACCTGCTTCAAGCCTGAATCCTAACCACGGCCAGTCTCTTCTGAGCGCCATCAGCATGAGGTGGTGGAAATACCTCTATGCCTCTCTTCTACAGCCTATCCTAGCAATAGTCCTCAAATTAGAAGTATGTGTTATGTTCCTTTAGATTTCCATTACTTTCCATGCTTCTTCGCCACATTCTAGAAAGAGGATGATGAGTCAGGCCTTGAGTTATGTTTCCTTAGATTTGTTAAACTTATTTGTTCTTCTCTTAAAGGTTTTTGGCGGTCTGATTTTATGCCACCATCTGCTTTAGAGCTCAATCTTCTTATCTTTAAAGATAAATAGTTCAGTGTTAAATTATAGTCTTCTCAACTGGAGGTGGACAATCTTTTTCCATAGAGATAAATGACAAACATGCCTCCTGATGATAGAAGTGCCCATTTATTGCCAGTGTTTTACGTACCTGAGCTATCTTCACTGCGGTATGAATTCGTTCATCTTTCTCACTATGCTTTGTCTTCTGTAATGTTTGCCATATTATGTTTCTAAGTCCATCCTGCTCCTCATCTCCTCGAAGTTCCCAGGACATTCTCACCAGGTTATACACTAATCCATAGTATCCGGTCCAGATCACTTGATTACCTGTTTAAAAAGAAGGACTCTTTGTGAAGATATCATTTTATTCACCTTGTCAATGCATGTTTGTATGAAAAAGAAGAAAACTGATTTTACTAAAATTATAATAATATTCCAAAATCTGGGAATTCTGAGCTTTAGAAATTTCTGATCCTGTACTGCTTTTACGCCTTTAATTTTAGAAGATCACAGATCATTTAAATATTTCTAAGCGTGTGAAAAAATGAACTGTACTAACTAATATAATACGTCATAAATTTAATAGTTAAACAGGTAAACTGTAGACAACATACTATAAACAAATCCTTGAAATTCAAGTATAGAAGAATTTTTTGAGGCAATATGAACACTTAGACCACCATGGTGAATTTTTATAATAAATCAGAGAAATAGGAAAAAAATCACTTGCTGTTGTAAAAATCATCAAATCAAAAATGATATGGGAGTTGACCAAAGGAGAAAACTTTGAAAATAATGTGAAAAGAAGACAAAAATTATTATATAATTATAGGCTGGATGATTTTTTAAAAAATAATAGACATAAATCAATTGGGATAAGAGGTCATGAATCCAGAGGAGATAAAGAAATCTAAGACAATTCTCCTTCTAAAACATATATATCAAATTGCAATTTATATAAAAATTA